ATCCAACATATCATGTGATAGTCTTACAAAGTTAATTTATTCCCAAAACAAGTGTAAGTTAAAAAAAAAAGACAAAAGAAATCCCAGTCTACTAATCAGTTAAGCCTACTGCTCAGCTACCCTTTCACACCAATAAACCTTTACCAGTTTGTTTTTTCTGAACCTTATTATGAAGTTTTGGCCAAGCCAATCTTAATAAACCTAAAACATGCTCTGTTGATACTGAACGGGATGGATTAACAGGTGTTAATCCAAAAATCCAATCACTGTCTTCTGATTCTTCCTCTATTTTTCACCACTGTGATGCATCAAACTGACACAACTTCCTTCACATATAGGTTTGCATTTGAAATGCGCCTCTTCAATTTTAAATGACAGGAAAGAGTAAAAAACCTAACTTTATGATCCATCAGGCATTTTCCAGCCTCATATTCCTCTTCTAGGCTCAACCTATTATGTTAGATAATTGAGATCACTCATGTGGGCCAGTGTCTGAAAACATCCATAGCTTCTTGATTTTCAACCTTCTTGTGTAGTTCCAGTTTTGTTATATCAGATCAAGCTAGAACTCCAATAAGACAAGAGTAGCATCACCACACCTCTAATCTGTAGCTCCTCCAAAGCTTCCTTTATATTATTTTGGTAAATTTAGAGCCCATCTGTAGAGTTCCTTGTACAAACAGCACACTATTTTTTCATCAAAAGTACTCCTTGTGTTTAGTGCAAACTTCAACATACTGCTGGTAGTTGCATGTAAATGTAGAGAATATCTTCCTCTCAGTGCTACTGAGTCTTCAGGAAGCTGGAACATCAATCCTTTTTCAAAGGAGGAACCCTTAAGGATGATTGCAAACGTCGGGGGGTGTTTTTGGTTTTTTAAACTTCACAGTGTATTTTAGGGCTGCTAATGTTTACTACTACTACAAAAAGCTTCAGCATACAACAGAAATTTAGGGGGACTGCACCTAGCAGCATTTTCATTTTATGTTGGTTGTCTGATCAAATAGCAAAGATGATCAAATTCCATAGGAATGGGCATGATATAC